CCCCCCTCCCCGCTCACCCCTCCCCCCAATGGAGGATGGCAGGGTTGGTTTAAATGTTTTTTAAAATTTTTTATCACTTTTTTATATTTCAATTTTTTTACATTTATCTTATCTTTTACTTTTTCATTTGTTTATAATTTTTGTATCTTATTTTTTACCTTTTTTATCTTAAATAGGGACCATGGGGAACAAAAGTAGCCGCACTCCAGAAGGAAGGACAGTGTCAGCACCAATTCAGAGATGATTGGAGGATCTACAGCCGAGTGATACACAAATAAGATACATTTTTGTTAATAGTTAAAATACTTGAATGCATTTTTAACTTGATTAAGGCCCCGTTGACACCAGGAGTTTAGTTGCGCATTTCTTTCCACGCTGAAATGCATGCAACATAAAATCCCATGTGTTCCTATGGGGGACGTTCACACACACGCCCTGAATCGCGTGGAAAAATATGCCTGGTGTTTGAAATGGTCCTTGAGCTTCTTTTGTGGCACTTAGTCTGTTTTGCTCCACAGACTTCAATGTAAACACGCCGATTAGCGTGTTTTTGCACTTTTTTTAGCGGGTTTTTGCAACTGAGACTGCTTTTTATTGGACAACTGTAAAATGAGATGAAAACGCGCCTTAAAATGCTATTGCTTATAAAAAGAAAACGCCTGTAAAACGCGCAAAGAACTACACGTAAAGCGCGCTGAAATGCTGTCGCCATGGTGTGATTGGGGTCTTACCTCCTGAGTTCAGTGTCACTTCAATGCAACAATAGGGGAAAAAAAAGATTGAGAAGAACTCTGTTGTGATCAGACAGTTACAGAACTATTCAAGAACTTATTACATAGAGTGCGCTTTTATTTATACAGAATTATTATAATATATGTTTAATCCGTTGTTTGTAGCTTGCAGCTAATTTACCTGCCATCCATTGTATGATATCCCCTATACCTAATCATACACCACTACAACAGGCTTCTTTTCTTATGTTATCTTACAGAAGAAGCACAGGGATCTTTTTTTTAATTAATAAAAAAATTATAACAAAGCCGTAATTGACCTTTAAACATCTTCTTTGTAAAGGGCACATTCTGACCAATTTCATTTTGGTGACAGAGTTAAGGTGCCCATACACCTTACGATTATCGTACGATAATCGTATGCGATCGACTTTTCGTACGACAAGCGTAACGTGTGAATAGGGTGCCCGACCGATAGTACTGTACAATCGTACGACTTTTGACGGTCAAGCATGTTTGAAAACTTTGGTTGATCGTACGATGTTCGCATGGTTGGTGGCGTTTCCGTCCGTCAAATGTCGTACGATTAACACTGCGCATGCGCAAACGGAAATAATTGCGGTCAATTACCGCAAGTCGTCCAGGTGTTTTTTTCTAACTACCGCTGATTGAACCTTGCGATAATCGGGGCAGGATGGGGCCGTCGTACGAAAATCGTACGACGGTTCGATCATCGGACGAAAAGTTTAGTCCGATAATCGTAAGGTGTATGGGCACCTTTACTTTCCAGCATCATTACAGGCTGTGTTGTGTGAATAGGTGAGTATACACAGGGGGCGGAGACCTGACACTGGTGTCAATCACTGCAGCCCTGGTGTCCCCCGGCGGTGGGGCAGAAGTAGAAGGAAGATCCTGAACAAATAGTGTTCTGTAAGCTGTATGCATGTAATGTTTATGCAATGTTTACAGACATACAGAGCAAAGGATTCCTTATTGATTGCTAGGATGTAGGAGGCTTGAGCTATCCTTTGTTGTGAGGATGCAGATAGCTCCTTGACTCCTAGTGTCCTTGGTTGCTAGGAAACAGGTAGCTCCTTTCACCTCGTCTCCTTGGTTGCTAGGATACAGGTAGCACTTTGCTGCCTAGTTTCCTTGATTGCTAGGATACAAGTAGCTCTTTGCCACCTATTCTCTTTGGTTGGTAGGATGCAAGTAGCTCCTTGCCGCCTAGGTTGCTAGGATGCAGTTAGCTCCTTACTGGCTGGTGTCCTTTGTTGCTAGGATGCAGTTAGACTCTTACTGCCTAGTGTCCTTGGTTGCTAGGATGTAGGTGGCATAAGCTGCCCATGGTTGCTAGGATACAGGTAGCTCCTTACTGCCTAATGTCCTTGGTTGCTAGGTGACTCGAGCCATTCTGTGTTACTAGGATACAGGTAGCTCCTTGCCACCTCGTATCCTTGGTTGCTAGTATATAACTAGCCGCCTAGTGTCCTTGGTTGCTAGGATACAGCTAGCTCTTTGCTGCCTAGTGTCCTTGGTTGCTAGGATACAGGTAGCACCTTGCCCCTAGTGTACTAGGTTGCTAGGATGTAGGGGGCTTAAGCTGCCCATGGTTGCTAGGATGCAGTTAGCTTCTTACTGCCTGATGTCTTTGGTTGCTAGTAGGGATGCACCGATACCACTTTTTTACGACCGAGTACCGATACTTTTGATCAAGTACTCGCTGATACCAATTACCGATACTTTTTCTTAAAGGGACAGGTCACATTTTTTCTAAAGCAATACAAACTAATGATTTAAGGTCAGTTTCTTAATATTATGATTCATGAGATGACGAGGGAGCATGACGCCGCCTTTCCGGCCAATCAGAATGCCGGCGCTACGTCATTACACGGCGCCCGGCTTCTAGATTTGCTAGCTTCCTGACCAATCGGGAAGCCAGGCAGGGCGTCATTACACGCTACCCGGCTTCCTGATTGGCCGGGAAGTCGGCTCCATGCTCTCTCATCACAAGTGACGAGAGAGCATGGAGCCGTTTCCGGGCCAATCAGCAAACCGGGCAGCGTGTAATGATGCGCAGCCTGGCTTCCTGATACAGGAAGTACTCATGCTAGGTATCGGTGTATTTGGGCGAGTACGAGTACTCACCCAAATACTCAGTATCGGCACCGATACTAGTATCGGTGCATCCCTAGTTGCTAGGATACAGCTAGCTCTTTGCTGCCTAGTGTCTTTGTTTGCTAGGATACAGCTAGCTCTTTGCTGCCTAGTGTCTTTGGTTGCTAGGATACAGGTAGCACCTTGCCGCCTAGTGTTCTAGGTTGCTAGGAGGTAGGCGGCTTGAGCTGTCCATGGTTGCTAGGATGCAGTTAACTTCTTACTGCCTGATGTCTTTGGTTGCTAGGGTGCTAGGTGGCTCAAGCTGTCCTTTGTTGCTAGGATACAGGTAGCTCCAATAGTGTGCATTTAGGCTCTATGCTATAGGCATGTAAACGTTACCACAAACATTTACATAGGTGCAGCGTAAAATATGGTCAATACAGGGAACGTCTGACACAGATTTTTCTGTGCTGACTATAAATATAAAGATCTGAACACAGCGCAAGTTTACTAAATGTTACGCAGATTCATGTGCCCATAACATGATAATTGCTCAAAGTTTGTGAAAAACCCCATTGATGTCCTGGGAAGGGTGTCCAGACACTGCCACTTGGGGGGGGCACCTACCAATGACAACACCACAAAAATGTCTTGTAATTCCTCACAACCAGCATGCAGATCTGGCAAGTCCATAATGCACATTTTGACAACCTTTAACCCAAAGCATTGCAGCTGGAAGAGCGGAGTGACAGCCAGGCACATTGGCATTTTTAGCAGCAGCCCCCAACTCTACCTGGGTGTGTGACAACACCTGAGCGGTGACGTCACACAGGTAACCCCTCCCCATCTCCGTTTCTTTTTGTTGCTATGTCCACCGTTTGCGTTCCAAGCTGTGAATCACGGACTGATCCATCTGTCCCGCGGAGGGGGGCGGAGTCAGCGCCAGACGATCGCGCAGATTTCATCCAGATTCCACGGGGTTAAATCAAGCTTCCCTGGAGACCGTCTCCTCCGAACAATAACAATCCCCGGGGGTATCCCCACGTGACGGGAGCTTTTTTCTTTGCAGTAACCTCTGCTGTCCGGGGATAGCAGGGGAAAGACTGGGACGGTCAGCACCGGGGACAGGGATCCGATTCATCGCCTGCCGAGGCCGGTAAGTGGCCCTTCCCTATGACAAACAATGGCCGAGGGAGGGGAGCTGCGGGTCAGAGAAAGGATCAGCATGAATCAGCATCATCAGCACCCAAAGAGAGATGCACAGAGCAGAGGGCAGCATCTATGCCTACCCATCACACTGCTGCATGCATTCCCATCTACAGGACCACCATGACATGCAGGGCAGGATATAACAATGATGTGCAGGGACACACTGCTGGATCTGACTGCCAATCATTGCACCTCTCAGGAGGAAGGGGGTGGGGGGCATTATATACCCAGCTATTGTTTGTATAGTACATTGCATGGAACCATACTTTGGGCTTGTATAGAACAGTCTTTTGTCAACCTTCTTACTCCAGAGAAACCCTTGAAAGATGTTTTAGGTCAAGGGGAACCCCTGCTAAAAGCAGTTCATTTGGGGTCAGAGGGAAGAATGCCCCTCTTACACCGGTGGTCATTGGGAAAAATAACCTCTCTTATACTGGTGGTCATTTTGAATAATGCCCCCACTCCCCTACAGTGGTGGTCACTGGGAAGAATGCACACCCCCCTTACAGTGGTGGCCAGTGGGAATAATGCCCCCCC